CCCTCTCCGCCACCACAGCTGTGCTTTCGTCGTATTGACCGTTCTGCTTTGGCGTGGGCGTCACACTGTGGCATTTTCTGCATGAGAGCAAATTTGTCATCCCTCCAAAGCAGGGCAGGGTCCAAGCTGGGAGGCTGGAAGTGTAGCTGCACCCAGCACAGGTACAGAGCCTTAGATTTCACAGCATTTGCTTCATTTGCAAATGACGTAAATGAAACTGCACAAAATGGCCTTTTTTTGTTACTTGGGTGGGCTTGGATTGGTGTGAGCTGATTTGATTGGCTGTGAGCTTGTTTGAAGGGAGGTGACAAATGATTTTTTGTCTCAGAAAAATAATAATTGTTAATGTCACAGATAGAATTCCATCTTTGCCTAATCTGACTCCGCTCTTCATCACCATTGATCCTGAGAGGGACAACGAAGAAGCCGTTGCCAGATATGTCAGAGGTATTACTGTTTTCTTCCTCAGTGTCTTACAGCATGTAATACAGCGCACTGAAAGGGAGGATCTTGATGGCATTCTTTTCACTAACATGTCTAAATGTCTCCTTTCAATCTAGAATTTTCTCCGAAGCTGGTCGGATTGACTGGTAGCAAGGCACAGATTGACCAGGTGGCCAAAGCTTACCGTGTGTACTACAGTGAGGGGCCCAAAGATGAAGACGATGATTACATAGTAAGTAAATGTAGGGATTTGGCCTAGTGAAGGACTTGGGATTAGAGCAGCACGTAGGTTTTAAAAGCAGAAGGCAGCTGTTGCAGGCTGTGCTGAAGTCCTCCGTGACAGAGCCCCCTTGCACCGATGTGTTAAGCTGTGTTTCAGAGGCCTTGGTCAGAATCAAGGTGCCGCCTTACAAGCTCAAAACCTCACTGACACCTTCTAAAAATGTACAGTCCCAGGCCTGCATACGGAATAGCACATGACCTAGCAAGCCTGGCAGTATTTGAACTTTTCTCTGTTTGTTTTTGTCTGGCTGTTTTCCTATGGGCTCCAAAGTGAAAGTGGAACTGGAAAATTAAGGCAATAGGAAGAGGGAGAAATGAGAGGTGAAAGTGAAGTAACAAGGCATTCCCTGTCAAACTGCCACCAAGGAGTGGGGTCTTCCTGACAAGAGACTTGGATGACGGGCAGTCTGCCTGCAGATACTGCCTGGTTCTTCCTCCTGTGTCAAATGACCTGGAAGAGAGAGCCTGTTAATGCTAAAGTAAGTGGGAATAAAATAGATAAAGTGATAGCGTGAAGGGGGAAACTGAGGTTTGAGTAAGGCTAAACGGGATAGTCAATATCTTACTCTGTGGACGTGAATAGAACTGGCTGTAGGGCTCGGAGCTGCTGCCAGGGCCTTCGTGACTTGCTGCATCCTGAGCAGACTGGAAGAATAAAGTAGGTACGAGCGATATGACGAGTGAGGATGCACTTTGTATGATCTTGATTTTTTTTTTTTTTTTTTAATTCGTTACAAGAACTAGGGGCATCAGAGAAAACTAAAAACAGGTTGAAAAGGAAAGGTGATGGTTCTTGTTGTGATGGACACGTGAGAAGTGGAATCGCTCGCTACAGATGCAAATGGTAGAAGTTTATGGGAGTCCAGAGGGAGTCTGGTTGTTCGTATTTGGAAAAAACAGTCTGTTGAGGATTATGAAATGTGCAGAAATCTTGCCTAGTTCAGGAAGCCTGTAAACTAAAAAAGTTTGTAAGCTGGGAGGTAATAGAGGAAGACAGCATAATTTTGGTGCTGGTTTTATACTCTTTAAAGCAACTGTTGTTGGCCACTATTTGAGGTAGGATGCTGAGGCAGATTGGTTTAGGTCTAATCCAGTGTTGTCTGTTCTTAATCTGTTTTCTAAAGCCACCTGACTGCAGCAAATAAATTATACATGTGGACAAAAAGAATGGTGGAACAAAAAAGTGGTGTGTAAAAAGAAATAGCAAGAGCAGCGCATGATGTCAGTAAAGAGAAGATGGAATCCCACTGGTGATGGGCACTGCTCTATATTACTAAAAGGGTTGTGAAGTGGGAAATCAAGAACTTGTTTTCATTTAAAGTGTCAACTCAATAGCTACAGAATTCTGTGTCTAAGATACTATATTTGAATGGAGAGAAGCTTGCTGGAGAAATTAAAGACCAGTTTAAATCAATTTAGTATCCGAAATCAATCTAAAGATACTGCTTAAAATCAGGTTTATAAAAGGGGGCTGGTGGAAATGCAAGAATAGGTTATAGGAACAGAAATGGCAAAGGATGCTTGCTCAGGAATGGGGAAAAATCAGTAGAATCTGACAGTAAATGGGTGAACTGAAGTTGCAGAGGGGTGGTGAAAAGAGGCCAGAAAAGCTGCAGGAGCAGTGCTCCTTATGAAGTCAACCACACGTGGATTCTAGCAAACCATACCTGGGTTGTGGTGTGGTCATGAAGGGAAAGTGCAGGGGTTTGGCCAAGGGAAGCAGAGATGACAGCAGCTCCAAGGGAGGCTGGAGGGTGAAACTGAACCAGAGAATGTGGCTACAGATGCTGTGAAGTAGGAGAAGGTATTTGAGCTCCAGGGAGAATACCACTGGTCTGTGCTAGGGTTCCAAGTCTGAAGGAAGGGGAGGGCAGTGAGGAAGAAAGGCCAGCGAACTGGGAGCAGGAGAGCAGCCTGGGAGCCCCAGGCGTGGTGCCAAGAAGGAAGAGTAGTATAGCAGCATGTCTTCAGGGTCTGTCAGAGGCTCTTGGCTGTGAGAGGCAGTGAGCTGGTTTGTGTTCAGAGCAGGAGGGCCCGAGGACACAGGTCTCGGAAACAAAACAGAAAGAGGGTAGCAGCAGCAGCAGACCTGGGCAGGAGAGCTTGAGGCTGGTTTTGTGCGTATCTGAGACTTCTCCAGGTAATTGCTACTCCGTCATTTCTTCCAGAAAGTTTATTTTTTTCCTCATTGTGTCTTGCACGGACCTGTTGTGCCAGGTGGCCATTAGGACTGACGTTTGTGTGGGAGCGGGTTCTGTTTCCTCTGCAGGCTGCGGGGAGGTGTGGGAAGGGGAAGAGGTCCACTACAGCGAATTAAGCCTTGCTTCTTGTTTTGACTAGAAAAAAGCATTGAGATGGGCATTTAGAAATTATGATTTCTAAACATCTGCTTGAATTTTTCAAGTGTTACTTGAATATTACTAGTTCCTGTTTATTTAATCTCAATTTTATAATTCTCAGTATCAGAGTATCCAATTTACTTGTTTTATTCTGTGGTTTACAAGATTACATTGAACCTCAAGGGATGATCTTATGTGTGTACAGTGGGAACAGTGCAGGCTTCAGGCACAGCTTGAAAAACAGTGGCCACTCCATCCTGACTGTGTTTAATCTTCCATAGGCCAGGGAGTTAAGATGCACTGAGCAGGCTACCCTGATTTTTTTTTTTTGCTAGTTTCCATTTGAAGGATCTAAGTTGTGATTCAGATTCCTTAAAAAAATTTTCTCCTACGAGTTGATTTTGTGCTCTTATCTTGAACATTTGAAAGTAGAGTAAAATATTTGAATTAAACCTGCTTCAAAAAAATGTTGAGAAACATTCTTCCAATGACA